TATATGATTTCACTCACCGCGATTATATGCAAACCGTGGCCGACCAAATGGAGACATGGGTTGATCAGTTTGGGATTCACAAACCAGGCTGTTTCGTCCGGCGACGGGATGGTGTGGACAGATGGTATTCCCATTTTGTTCCTTAGGCTGTGGGTTTGCCCTCTTTAATTTGGTTTTTAGTTTACAAGACGGCCGTTTTCTGATAAGTATTTCTGCCTTCTGGGTTGTCACTGGGACGCAGGGATATTCATTTCACGTCTCGGACATGTCTGCACCTGGGACCTTGTCTTTCTTTGTTTCTTTGGGTTGTATTCCCTTGCTCAATTCCAACAAGTCAGTGGGATTCAAATCTTGGGTTGGTTTCTTGTCATCAGTCACGCCGACTCAGCGGACCTGGGTTTGCCTTCAATTCTGTTGCCTTACACTTGGGTTGAATCTTACAGCTCACTTATGTGCATCACTTCTGTGGGATTCTGTTTTGGGTTGAAACGTTTTCTCCTGTCTTACTCCCTCTCCTTCTTCTGTCTTGAGTCCCTGCCTCGCGCTTTTGGCGCCTGGTGGCTTCTCAGTGTTCGTGGTTTTGGAGGACCGACCTTTCAAGGCGCCTCATCATCATCATCATCATCATCATCATCATCATCCCCTTCCTCCTCCTTCTCCTCCTCCTCCTCCTCATCCTCCTCCTTTTCCTCCCCCTCCTCGCCCGCGCGTGGCACTCGCGCCCAGTCCTCGACCCTCCCGCGCGGGCGGCGCGCCATGGAAGTCGACGTTTCCCACGCGGCCGCAGGCGCGCAAGCCGCCGGCGGCCGGCGGCGCCAGGGGCCGGGCGGGGAGGGGCAGGAGGACACGATGGAGGTGGATGCGAGCGCCCGGCTGGCCTCCCAGTTTCGGGCAGCGATCTGGGCGGTCGATGTGCAAGGGGCGTCGGCGCGACCTGCCGCCTGCAGGTCTTGTGGCTTGGTTTTTGAGACAGGCGAGTTGCGTTTGTGCACCTGTTGCAACCGCGCGCGTCCACGCTGGGTGCGCACAACCTGCCTGCAGGGCCAGCTGCCGCCGGGCGTGGAGTTCCGGCCTCATGGGGGAAGCGATGCTTTGATCGCCGAGGCGGCGCGAGCGCAGACGGCAACGCGCGAGGCTTCTGGCAGAGCAGGGGCCGCCGCTGGAAGGGCGCGGCCGGCGCAGCAGCAGCAGCAGCAGCGCCATCTCACGCAGCACCCAGCTCGGGGCGACAACGAGCTACCCAGCCAGGGCATGGGCAGTCCTGCCATGGGATGACTCGTTAACCACAGGGGCCACTACGCATGTGCAGATCCCAAACGAACTACGCGGCGCCGCCCTCCAGTGCGCCGGAAGTCTTTGCATGTCTTCCGGCGCGTTCGGGAACGCGGGGAGGCGAAGGGTGAGTGGAAGTTGTTCTTAGTGCTGGACCTCCTCCTTCTCGGCGCGAGCAACGAAGCCGCGACGTGTGCAGAGCTGCTTGAGGAGCGCCTCGCGTGGTTCTGGGGGGCCCAGCGGGGCGCGCTCTGGGCGCCCGTCCGGCGCGGGCGGAAGATCCCAGTGGCGGCCGCCAAGGACAGCGACAAACAAAGGGCGGCGCGGGTGCGCACTTTGGCAGCGGCTGGAAAAGAAGGCCGGGCTTTGCGAGCCACGGCCAGCAGCAGACTGGCCCCGCGCATTCGAGACACCTTGGACAAAATCAAGGCGTGTTTCCGCGAGACTGTTCGGCCCGCGCTGTCGTTGGAAGGCACCCCGCGGCCTCCGCCAGAGATCCTCGCAAGCGCCCAGGGGGAGATAGTGAAACTGCTGCGGAGGCCGCCCCGCCTCTCGGCGCCAGGGCTGCTAGGCTGCCGCATGGAGCACCTCGGAGACGCGAAGCGGTGCGCCGAGACGTTGGGATGGCTCTCTGAAGCGATATCGTGGATCGCCTTCAGCATGCTGCCCGGCGAGGCCCTGGCTGTTCTCCGCGCCGGGGAGGTCGCGGCGCTCCGCGAGGAAGGCGACGGCGCGCGGCCCCTCATCGCGGGTTCCACTGCGCCGCCTGGGTCTGCGAGCACTGGCGCGGGTCAAAAAGGAGCAGCTGCGGGCCGCAGCTGGCGGCGAGCAGCACGGGGTCGGGGGGCCAGGCGGCGCCGAACTCTTGCTGCGGAAGCTGGGGGCCCAGGCGGAAACCAGGCCCACGGCGGTTTTTCTGAAGCTGGACCTGGAGGCCGCCTCCCCTTTCCTAGAACGGGCGCCCGCCCTGGCGCCCATGGCAGAGCGAGACGAGGTGGCGCGGCAGCTCTCCTTGCGCGGTGCCGACAGCCAGCGAGACATTTCTGGCGCGACGGGGGGGGTCGTTTCCACCCGCTTCAAAGCGAGAGGGGGTTCGACCAGGGGGGCCCCTTGTCGCCCGCTGCGTTCTACGTGGCGCAGAGGGTTGCCCCGGGCAGGTTCTACGAGGAGCTGCTCCGCTTGGACCCGCGGGCGAAGCTGCACAGCTACTTGGGCGACGCCTACCTGGTGGTGGAGGCCGCGCTGGTTGTCCTCACCCTGCAAGCCCTGCAGCAAGCTCTACAGCCCCTCGGGTTGCGGCTGGGCCCCGCGAAGACAGCCGCTTGGTCCCCAGCAGGGCGCGCCGTGCTCACGGGCGAGCTGCAGGCGTGTTGGGTGCCCAGCTCGCCCGTGCTCGGCAAGCACTTGCGACCGCTGGGCGACGCCGACAGCTGCGCGCCGGCAGCCCTTGGAGAGCCAGCGAACAGCCTCGCCGAAGTGGGGGGGAAGCTTCGGGCGCTTTACCAAGCTGCGCAAGGCTGGGCCCAAAAAAGCACGCGACGGCAGCCTTCTTCCGCGCCTGCGCAGGCCCGGCAAGCCAGCACTCCTTGCGAATGGAGCTCGCGACAGACGCCGCGACGGAGCAGTGCGACGACCTGCTCGCGGGCTGCTGGCGGGACTTGCTGGGGCGGGACCTCGGCGACTCAGCCAAAGAGCTGCTGGGCCTCCCAGCCCGCTTCGGGGGCCTGGGCGCGCAGCTGGCTAGCGCGCGCCGCCGCGCGGCTTTCCTGGCTTCCTGGGCGCCGTCGGCGGAGGAGGTCGCGGAGGACCAGGGCAGCGGAGCGCCGGCAGACTGCTTGGAACGGGCGCCGCGGGCGGCCCAGCAACTCGCCGCTGCGCGGCGAGGGTTGCGAGACCAAGGGCTGGAGCTCGCCGCGGGCGGGGACCTGGCGACTGCGCTGCAGACGCCCTTGAAGCAGGGCCTAGCTACGGAGAAGGTGCACAGGCCAGTCTTCGGGGCGCGGCCGGCAGCGGCAGCGGCGCCTGCCTGACCTACCCGGAGGGCGAGGAGGACGCCCACTGGGAGACCAGCGCCAGGCGGCGGCTGCAACTCCCGCGCGCGGAGCTCAGCCAGCTGGAGCTCGCGACGGCAGGGGCCGCCTGCTGCTTGCGCGGCGCCGACGGGGCTGGCTGCGCTGGGACTCTGGACGAGCGCGGCTACCGCGCCTTGACTTGCCGGCGGGGCGGGGGGGGGGTGCTGGCGCGCTGCGGCGGACTCAACAGGAGAGTGGCTGGGCTCCTCCAGCGCTGGCGCGGCGAGCGGCCCCTCCTCGAGCAGAGGGTGCCGACTTGGGACCGCCAGCGCCCAGACGGCCAGCTCGAGCGCGCCATCCTGGATTTGGAATATCAGGATGACGACGGGGCCCGGTGGCTGGGCGTCGATCTCTGTTCGCCACCCCGCAGCCGGCGCGCAGGCCGAGCTGCGCGTGGCTGCGCGCCGGGACGGCGAGGCCAGCAGGTGCGGCGAGCGGGAGAAGCACGCGCGCTACCCGGGCGCCCGACTCACGCCCTTCGTCCTCGAGGCGGGGGGGCGGCTCGGCGCCGAGGCCCGCCTCTGGCTGCTCGGGCAGGTGCGACGCCTGCCTGAGGACCAGCAGTCGCGGGAGCTGGCACGGGCCTACAAGGTCCTGAGCTGCGGCCGGCAGGCTGCAACGGCGCGCCAGCTCTGCAAGGCGGCCGGCCTGCGCTAGGAGGCGCGCCAGGCGCCGGCGACGCCAGCCAGACGACGCCGCCCAGCGGACCGCAGAGCAAGGGACACCGCCCGGCCACGCGCCCTGCCGCCGCGACACCCGCAGGACGCGGCCCGCCTGCGCTGAAGCTGGAGACCCCTGAAGCGGCCCTGGCGGGGCTGCCAGCTGGCACGACGGGCGGCGAGGGCCGGGCTGTTGCCCGGCGGCGCAGCCGGCTGCACGACGGGGCGCCGCGGCGAGGGCGCGGGCACCCTTGCCTGGGCTGGCCGCGGGCAGGGGCAGGACGACGACGGCGGCGACGCGGACCCCGAGCCGCAGGAGGGCGCAGGTCGTCGCGGTCGCCACGGAGCTCCCGAATAATTATGTTGTCCAGAGGCCCCGGCTGGCAGACCCTGGCAGACCCCCCCCCCCATTGGGAGTGGCTGCTGTCTTAGACAGTCAAGTCAGCCACCCCCGGGGGTGCCGCCCCTTCTTTTGGTTGGGCGGTGGGGGTGTCAGCGGGATCCCGACAAATGTGCGTCGGGCGCGCGCGCCTCCTCACCTCGTCCTCCTCATCACTCGTCCTCATCCTCCTCCTCCCGCCTCCTCCTCCTCCTCCTTCTCCTCCTCCTCCTCCTCTCCCTTCTCCTCCTCCTCCTCCTCTTTTCCCCCTCCTCCCTCCTCGTCGTCCTCCGTCCTCCTCCACCCCCCTGTCCTCCACCGCCGCCAGAGTGAGTCCGCTCAGGATCGGGCCCCGGGGGCCCCCGTCCCAGGGGCTCCAGATTTTGGGAGGAGGCCAGCCTCCAACGGGCCCCGCGCGGCCCCTACTCCGACCCCTCCTCCAGAGGTTCACACGGGGGGCCCTGGAAACACAGCCCCCCCTCGTGCAGATCTCTTCAGGCTTGTTGTTGGTGTTTCCGCAGGGGTTGCCCAGATACACAGATTGAGGACAGGCCACGGCGACTTCCTATGATTCTTCGCGGCGACGTAAGAGAAGACCTGGCGCCCCCTTGGCCCTGCCCCCCTCCTGGACACCGCTGGCCCCCTCGCGCCGGTGCCGTGCCTGGCACCTCTCTTCCAACTGGGGCGCGAGCCCCCCTCGGGCGGTCCGCCGCGCGCCGCCAGTGGCCGTGCACCAGGATCTCGCCGCGCGGGAAAACCTGCCTCACGCTTCGCCAGCGCCACGTTCTGTACAGTGCTCCCCTCTTCCCGGCGGCCGCAGCAGGGGCGGGTACCAATCAGTCCAGGTGGGGGGGGTCATCGCGTGTCCAGGGGCTCCGATCGCCCCGGCCTTGGGCGAGGCTCCCGTGGCGAACTCGTGCGATGGCTGCCCCCCGGGGCTGCATCCACCCCGGCTGCCTCCGCCGGGCCGGAGGCGCAGCGGTCGGCACCGGCACCGCTGCCGGCGGTCCTCCTCGCCATGGGACGGGCGGGCGCGCGGCGTGCGAAGAAGCCGCCACGCCGCGCGTCCACGGAGAGCTGCCCCGTCTCCGCGAGGCGTCGCGAGGGTGCACAAGAGGGCAGCGTCTCGCGCTCCCTGCGTCGGCGCGCCGCGCCGAGGCGTGGGCGTGCTCGGGAGACGGAAAGGCGATTGCGGCATTTCGAAGAGGTGCTGCTAGAGGCACTGGGAGGCCATGCAGTGGCAAGGATCCGTTCCGGATCGATGCCCCAACAGATCGTGCCGAGGCAGTAAAGCCCATTGTCCCAACCCGCCTTTCTCTGAGATGCTGCCGCTCACCAGACCTCTCCCGAGGGGCGTTCTGACCAGAGTTTCGAGGAGGATCGGTTGATTGACAAAATTCATGCCCTTTTATGTGAACACCCCCGCGCCCCCGATTCCGTATTGGCGGGCTCCGCCGCACTGCGTCGATTTGTCGATTGGCCGAAATCCCATGCCCCGCTGGCGATGCCAACCAACATTGAATCGTGGGCAGGAGGGCGCGTTGAAGTTTGCGCCAGCATCCCGGTCGCGCGGGTGGTGCTGGATTTTGTCCATCAATCGATCCAGCCGTGGCGACGAGGACTCCAGGACGAGGAGCGGTACGGGTATCTTTTCTTCCCCTGGCGTGCTGGTGCCAACCTCTGAGCCGCCGAATTTGCTCTCGACGCCTGTGTGACGCTCCTCCTCCTCCTCCTCCTCCTCCTCCTCCTCCTCCTCCTCCTCGGTGCCAACCTCTACGCCGCAGGCTTTGCTCTCGACGCCTGTGTGACGCTCCTCCTCCGTCTCCTGTTGGGCGAGGTGCTGTGACCATCACCACCATTCGTTTCCGCTGCGTCCCGACCGTGCGCAGACCTCGGTGGGCATGACTTCAGCCCTCGGCAACATTCATCTCATCTCCCCGTTCAATTTCTCCTCCCTTCAATGTCGAGTTGAACTGGAGGGTGCCGTGGACGGGGATGACGCAGCATGCGCATGATGCCCGACATTGATGAGGGGTCCCGTCAAGCACGTCGCGCTGAATGCCACCAAACTTCAGGCGCGCACATGCATAAGCAAACCACGTTGCCAGCTTTTGAGATTCGTTTGGCCCAGGGCTGTAGGGTAATCTGGCTCCCTGAGCGAATACATTCACCAGGAAGTCACGTAGCCAGCGTTTGAAGTCAATTTTGTCGAGGGTTGCAGGGTACGTTCACGCCGTCTTGCCCTTGGCAGCCCCCAGGGACCCCGACAGCGGGGATCGTTCAAAATTGAACGGCGCACGTGGTGACAGCAGCGAGAGCCCACGGCGTCGTGACATGCAGTTGCTGTGAGGGAGTAGATGGCGGCCAGGCCCGTTGCTTGCGCGCGACCCGCGGCCTTGCCAGCTGGGGGACCCCAGAGGCTTCAGAGGCCCCCAGAGGCCTCCAGGGACCGAAGGAGGAGGAGGAGGAGGAGGAGGAGGAGGAGGAGGAGAAAGGACGAGGAGAAAGGACGAGAAAGGAGCCTCAGGAGGAGGAGGAGGAGGAAGCGGAGGAGGTCTCCAGAAGGCACATGAGAACCGAAAGCATTCTCGATCCTCGATCCCCCCTGAGATGTTCCCCCCTCCCTCTCCAGGTCATAGTCGCCGCCGCCGGATGGATTCTGGCGATTCGGTCAGGGAGGGCGAAGTGGATGTTTGGCCCAAGCCCGGTAGCCATGACCAAGATGGCACAGGACTTTGTCGGCGCCGATTTGGGTCAAGGTCCGTGCTGGCCGTCGCCGATTCGCGAGGATGCCAGGATGGGCGAGGACCAAGGTCGACACCCACGCTTCCCCGTCCAGTCTTGGTCATGGTCATCGTTCTCTTTCCCTCTCGAGGGATGTCCCCCCCTTCGCCCTCCCTTGATGCATTCCCAGCCAGCGAAGTTTTTTGTGCACACGCCATGCAGTTGCGCGCGCCCTGCTGGGAGCGCCCACCGCCTTGATGGTGGTGTTAGGAGGATAGAAGGGGAGGAGGACGAGAAGGAGGAGGAGGAGGACGAAGAGGAGAAGGAGGAGGAGGAGGACTCAACGAGGAGGACGAGGAGGAGGGAGAAAATTGGATGGCTGAGGAGGAGGAGGCTGATGATGATGATGAGGAGGAGGAGGAGGAGGTGGAGCAGCAGCAGGAGGAGGAGGCGGAGGAGGAGCAGGAACCGAATTCATGCTCCGGCCAATGCGGAGTATTGATCGTACTAGCTGGCGCCAATAGCCAACAGACACCTAGCTCGCAGGCACTCGGCCGCGGCCGGAGGGACTCCCGGCGGCGCGCGGGGGGGCGGGCGCGCAGGGGGCGCGAGGCTCGGGGCCCCCCAGCCGGCGTCTCTTGGCCGTGGCCACGGCAACCCCCCCTCAACCAGGGGCAGCGACAGGGGGGGACAGGCCTGGGGGGGGGATGCATTGACCCCCAATCGTCCGCTCATCGCCGAGAGGGGTCTGACAATTGCCCCACCCCGCCCGGGAGCGTGCGGGTTTGCCATCGGGGGCCTATCGCCGATGGGTCGGCGATGTGTCGCCGGTTCCGGATCGAGATCCAAAGATTTGGGGGGCCCCAGACGGCGTGGGGGATTCGGGGTCACAGCGCGGATTGGGTTTTGGAACGTTCTCCGAGGACGTCTCGGGCGCCTGGGGCCTCCGAGGTCCCAAGAACGTGTGGTGACGGACCACGCGCTGAAGTCGGTGGGGCTTTCGAGGTCACCTCGCAGTCCGTCACCACACGGCTTTGGGACCCCGAGGACGTGAGGGGCCCCCATTCTGGCCAGCTTCTCTTGGCAGTGTCCACGGTGTCCCCCCTAAGGAGGCTCAGGTCGGCGTGAATGGGGGGCATGTCGCAGGTCTAAAGGTTGGCGCCAACACCAATGTCGGCGGTGTGCCTCCACCGAGGGAAGACGATCCCGATCTCGGTGATGGTGGCTTCCCAGGTGGCCGAAATGTTTGTCCATCAACACCGAAATATAGGATCATCCTCCCCTGGTAGAGGCATACACCCGTGTTGGTGCTGATGTCCATATATAAAAGATGAAAGCGCAACACGCTGACATATGACGTAGATGCTCAAGTGAGCATACAAGAATTCATTGGTGAGCTGCAGGTTGGCGACGAAGTTGGTACATAATATTGCCTGGCTCAGTCAGATGTTTTGCTTTGTCGCACCGTAGAATAGTAAGAGCCATCTCACAAGCAGCTCTGAGCATACGGACACGGTCTCCGCGGTGCTCGGCCTGTGAGTAGCAAATCCAGCCCGACTTCGAGGTCACGCGAGGGACCGAAGTCCAGAACCCCGAGTCGAGAGCCAGTCGATGCTGGATCTCTCATCGTTGGCGTTGCAAGTGCGGGCACTCTCCCCAGCCATGTCGAAATGATGGTGCCAGATGTCCACACTTCTTGTACGGGTGTCCCGTGCGCCTCTGAGTCTCAGAAGATACCGGTCCACTTGGGTATATCGAGATCAAAGTGCGGTCTGACTCCTCCAGGGAAGCCATCCATGTGACAAATTGCGTGTGAGAGCTCAAATCCACGTCTACGTCGACAATCTCCTCTGCGTCGTGTCGATCACGCTGCACAACCTGGAGAAATCGGACCCGTGCACTGACACGTATGGTATGTAAGGCAGCCTCTCCTGAGGCCCAAAACCTCCACCAGTCGTCAACCAGGTGTTCCGCCGCCTTGTGTACTCGATGATCGTCCGATGGACCCACTTCTAGCAACAAACCCCGTTGGTCACTGTAACGAATGTACTTCAATCCAAGGGCCTGCACATGATACGTCATACTCGTCTCCAAGAAACTGGACCAAGTTAGCTTCGTGCCCGTCACATTCTTGATTCCAAAGATGGCACTCGAATAGACTGGATGCAACAATACGTTCTGGCACCACCACCTGTTCATACACCACCAGACGCAGCTGGTCCTCCAGACGGCCTTGGCCAAGGACTTGGCCGTGGCCGCAGGCGGTGGTACCACAAGTGGGGGAGCCCACCACCACAGCGGTCTCGAATATGCCATTGCCAATTTCAGCCCGACCTGGTTTGACCCAGGGATAGATGCAAGGACTGGAATGCCATGGATAAGCTTCTGCCAACCTTCTCGAGGTAGGATCGGATGTACTGGATTGGCCGGGTAGCATTCAACACCAAGATGTTCAATGAGCTTCGACTGCGCGTTTTGATCTGACCATGCTTGCCGTTTGGCCGCGTTCTCTTGGTACCCAATGCTCACGTCGAACCTCTGGGTAGCCCCCAGGTCGTCCTTGCGTAGCGGTTGCCATGGAACCAGCGTGGCAATCATTGCAGACGGCGCCTTTGAATCTCCGTGCGGGAGGCCGCAATGCGGTAATGGGCTCTGCGAGTCCACCTTGGATGCTGCGCAGTCTAGGTCCAGGCCTCGCCGCCAGGCAGGTATACATAACTGCGTCGGGTAACTCAGATCGATCCAATCCTTCCAGCGCGATATGCGATCATGAACTTTCGAGAGATCCAGTTCGGCGCCGTCAGTCCCGTCTGCACAGTCTGCCAGCCATCTGGATACAGCGCGAGGTACCGAGCTGCCCTTCCCGTTCGCCCTTTGGTTCTCCGGGGGGTCAGGAGTGGCCTGCGACCCTCCGTCCAAACACCAAGCCGAGGGCATCTGCAGGCAGCCGTCTCCGAAGACGCGCCGTCTCCAGGCTCGTCAGCACCCGCAGTTCGTAGAGCTCGCGTGTGATCTGTGGGAACATCTTCGAACTAATGCGTTGTTCACGGAACGTCCAACCACCCAGGCTTGGACCGCCTTTCGCCAATTTGACATCGCCCAACAACTCGTCGCAGGATGGCGTCCAATCTTTGGTCTCGAAGACTTCGGTAAAGTAATGCTCTGGGCATGCTGCTTCCAGGCATCGAGGTGCGGGTCGTCATTGCACTCTGGCGGGTCCCAGAGCTGCTTCCATTGGTCCCTCATCTCGTGCGCAGTGCAAGATGGTGAGGAGGCGTTGTCTTGAAAAGAGGAGTGGTGAGTCGCCAGATATCCGAAGAACGTGCTGAAAAATACTGTCGGTATCGTCTGGCGCTGTTCTCCTGCAGGCGTCGTTGCTCAACGTTGATGCCCGAAGAGAGGGAGTTGAGTGCGTCGGCGTAACTCAGCGAGCCAGTCGCTGGTAGGTGGAGCAGGCGGGGAAGGTCAAGCGCTGCCTTCGCCACCTGCGCATAGTGGCCAGTCAGTGCGTAGTATGCTGGTGCCCAGAACGCCCTGTCGCAGCTGCTCCGCAAACCGTCGGTGCAGGCGTAGTAGGCGTCGTTGCGCGATGGACTGATCCAGACGATATGCTGGTGAGTGTCTCGTGGCCCTGGCGGTCGGAGTGGAGCCTTTGCCTCGCTCGGCGGCCCGCTCCATCCTAGCGCGCCCTCGTTCCACTGCAACAATCGAAGCATGCTCAGCTCGCTCGTGCCAATACCTCCAGTGGGTAATTAGGTCTGGCTCCTGAAGGTCATCAACAGCTGGAGGTCCGAAGTCTGCATCCACCAGCTCCTGCACGAGGCGTCGCTCGTCGTCCGACGGCGCCCTGAAAGACGCGTGCGACGCTGCATGACGCGCGCGCGCGGGTGCTGCGCTGACGAACGAGAGCGCCAGCACCAGGGAGTGCATGTGCGCTCTTCTGCAGGGGGGGGGGCGGACCATCGCCGAAATGCAGCGCGCGCGCAGGGGTCGTCGATACCGCGGCAGTGCACGCGTCAACCCCCGGGGCTCCACGGCACATGATACACGACGTCGTCACAGGTAGGTAGGCGGGCCTCCAGTCGAGGTCGCCGATAACGTAGAGTGGGTGACCCAGGTGCCCCAGAGTCTGTCATGCTCCTGCGGGCCGTAGATATGTCATGCTCCTGCGGGCCGTAGACCGAGACAATGGACGCCCGCGCCGCCCTGATGCCCACGGCCCTGCGGCGTAGGCTATCGTCGCGGATAATCGTAACACGGCCCAAAGAGCGCTTCCATATTATCGCACATCCTCCTTGACGAGGCGTGGCGGTGAATTGGGTTGGCCCCGAACTCGAAGCTGAGGCGGTGGCTCTGAGAAAGCCATGGGCTATCCGTGCTGCTGAGCCAACCTCGAGGCCCACCGAGGACGGAGTTCGCGGTGTCGAGTCTCCTGCAAGCGCCAGCCGTGGATGTTGGTAAACTCTCGAGGGCCATCGTCAGGCGTGCTTTACTCAGCGCTGAGACGTTGATCGAACATTATTGAACCTGGGGAACTGGCGCTTGGGCCTCTTCTGGCTCCCGACCATCATCTGTTGCTGCTTGACGGCAGCGCTTTCCTTCGGGCGAGACTCTCGAACGTGTAGATATATTTGGACCTGTTGGCGTCGGTGAAACTAGCGCTGGTGATGCTGAAGGCGTCACTGGCGTCGGGCTTGGCTCGATGCTCGCTGGCGATGTCCTCTGGCGTTTAGGTGGTGCGCGCGAAACAGAATCTGCATGGTCTGCACATGCAGCTATGAAATGCGGCTCTGCACATGCAGGCGTTGAATTGCGTCTTGCCTTCTTGGTCGGAGGAGCCTCCAACCCAGATGCTGCGGCGCAAACTCGAGATGAGCGTGCTGGAGTGGCCACATTCCTCCGCGGCCTCTTGGCGTCGGGCCCCCGGGAAGAGGTGCTCCTGCGCGGGGAACGCCCTCCCCCCAGAAGCGGGCCCCGTCACGACGGCGCAGCCGATGGCAGTGAGCGATCCGCTGGGGGGAGGTGTTCCCGCGCGGGGAAGAGCGCCCTCGCCCCAGACTCGAGCCCCGTCGCCGCCGCTGACCGTCGGAGGATTCTCGACGAAGAGGAAGAGGACGTCGTAGCTGCCGCTGGCCGTCGAAGAACTCGGCCCAGCTACCCGTCGTAGGTGCGCCCCCGCGGGCCACGAGCTGTGGCCCTGTAGTTGTCGCCCCTCTCCTTCCTTGCGCGGTTCTGGTAGCGTTTCCTGCCGCGGCGGCGGTGGCACTCGGCGCAGTAGCCTGGTAG